ACCTACAATCTTACTTACTCAGGAAGCTAAAATGAGAGACTCATGAGTTCCAGTGTGGCCTGGAAACACAGCAAGAACCATCTCAAAAATGTAATCAGATGAATATGATAAAAAAGCTCAGGGGTTGGAGGAATAGCTAGGAATAGTTGTTAGGAACGACTTACCTAACAAGCCCATGGCTGAGGGGTTCAACTCCCTACCACACCTAAACTGATATAAAGCTTAGATAATTAATACTCCTATTAAAAATGAGCAAAATATCTAACCAGACATTTTTTGTAAAGAAGGTAAGCAAATAACCAATACATACATGAAAAGATGCCATTCGCCACAAGAGAAAAACAAATCAAAACCACACTGAAATATTTAACATGTGCTACGCTGATTTGAGGACAGGCGATGGCATGCCACAGTGAAGATGCAGAGACACGAGCTCTCAAACTCTGCTGGTGGAGAGCATGACGTGACAGTCATTCTGGCACTGTCACCCACGGAGTTATCACACGCAGTAGAATTCCCTTAGTTGGCACATGCCCAGAGGAATCCAAACTTGTGCATGAATGTTCAAATCAGCATTACTAATAAACAGCCAAATTTCAGAGAGAACCAAGATGCTTATCAGTGTATCAGCAATAAGCAGAAGTTAGGCACTGACATGTACACCATGGGTAGGCCTTAAAGATATTATTGCAGATGAAAGCCAATCACAGAAGATCACATACTGTATGACTACGTTTACAGGAAAAGACAGAATAGATTAATTCTCTCAAGGAGCAGGTGGAGGTCCTGGGAATAAATGGGCACTGTTAATGGTATGGAGTTTCTTCATTGACAAAACATTTCAAAATTATTGTAATAGTTGCAAAATTGTTGACAGGTCAGGATTCAAAGTTTCCCAGGCACCCTGCCCCAAAATTCTCTCCCTCTTGGCCCCACACAGAGCCAAACCCACAACCGCAGAACAGGTCCACCTGACGTTGACCTGGGCAAGCAACAATGGAAATTCTCCTTTGTTAACATTGAAGGTTCCCCACAGACCAGGTAGCCCTGCCAACATTAGCTCTCCTTCAGCTGTTCCAGCCCATGATCACCCTCCCTAAAAGATCCTATAAAGTCTCTTGTATCCGCTTTATACACTGCTGTCTTGGTCTGCTAGACAGCCAGCCTGCTTGATGCCCCCAATAAATCTACTCACATCAGAATGTCAATTACATGGGTTTGTACCTAACAATTGTAAATACAGTAAAAATCATTGTGTTGTACACTTTGAACTGTGTGCCATGTAAATATATATCAATAACGATGCTAAAGATAAGGCTTGTAATAAATTAATGAGCTTGACTTAATTATGTGATTTGGATAGGTTAAGTATATTTTGTACTCACTGTCACTCTGTCTGGTTGACGTATGTATTTTAGCTTTTAATTCTAATTTTCACTGGTTTAGCAGATATGCTGTCTCTATCTCAGAGATTAGAAAATTAGGACAGAAGCAGATTAAGTAATCTCCCTAAAGTAACACAGCAATGTATGTCAGGGTCAGAATTTAAAATTCTTGTCTATTAGTTTTTCTTCTTACTTTTTAAAACTGTTGTTCTTTTAAATAGTTAATATGCTTCTTTTTCACAAAACCAAGTGATAAGCAGGGTGTCCATCCTCTTTCCAACCACCTTCTTTCCAGCCCTGGGTATGACTTGGTTTGGCTTCATGTGCAGCGTTCCTTATATAAACAAAGCACACACAGATGGATACATATCACCATTTCTTTGTCTTTGGAAAATGTTGCATATGACACATATTGCTCTGCACATTGCTTTTTTCATTCTCAGAGACCCTCTCATCCTTGTGGGTATAGCTTCAGAGAACACCAGGCCTCCATGTGCTGCTATTAGTGGTTCCCTAAACATGGCTGTTTAAATTCTTCCCAATAACCTATATTTAGAAACTACTTTCAAAGGCAGGAAGGAAATTCACAACACATTGAATCATTTAAAAAATAAATCTCTTTCACCCTAAATGATTACTTTGACTATAACCCTCTTCCCAAACCATGGGAAGGTTTGGGAAGGGTACCATAATGTGCCCCAAACTATGGGTTGAAGCCCTCTTCCCCAAGGAGATGTCATAGGAGATACAGCCTTTGTTAGGGGACTTGGGCGCAAGAGTGACACCTCTAAGAATGTGATAAGTGACTCTATGACCTCAGGTCCCCGAGAATGGCCCCCTGCTTCTACTGTGTGAGGCGACAGAGAAAAAGGCCAGTGAGGAGGAGGACTGTGATAAAGAGGGCTTCTACTGGACACCACGTCCTCTAGGGCCTTTGTCTTAGACTGCCTGCCTCCAGAAGTCAGAGAAAGCAATTCTTCCAGTTCATAATCTACCTAATTTGTGTACTTGAATATAGCAAGAGGAATGGATTAATTCCGTAGTGGTGAGCCTATGAATATATATATTCATAGTGAGTAAGTGAAATAAAATTAAAAATCTTATTACAGTACACCTGGACTCCAAATTAATATTCTAAGGCTTCTTGAGCTGTCTTTAAAACTTCAAAAAGAACCTGTAAGTTTGGTTTTCTTTCTTTTTTGTTTTAATTTTTCAAAACCATTGCTTCAGTAGGGCTATGGGTTTTCTAAAAGATCCCTAACATAAAATGAGTTTGAGCATTAACATGCAAAACACAAGCAATAAGAAAGGTAATATGGCTGGAGATGAAGTATCCAAGAGCGAAACAATGATCCCTTCCATGCCCAGCGGGATGAAAGGAGGCAACATGCACAGCTTCTAAAGCTAAAGAAAATGACAAGCAAATTAGGACGGCTGAATTTAGCCTTTTCTTCTCAGAACACAAACATATATTTAGCTTAATAGATCTGACTACAGACTATCTCAGGAAAAACTATCTGTGCATCTAAGGCAATGAAGGCCACAGAAAGTGAATTTGTAAAGGAAACACTGCACAGGTGGGCAGCCATGCAGCAAGGCTGTGCACTCCGTGAGCAAGGTCTCCTCCTCACCAGCTCAGGAGGAAAGCGAGAGCCAAGAGCACCGAGGGCTCACACGCTGGACAGAGCCTGGCAGACCCTCACACTTGTGGTACATTTTCTGATTATAACCATAATGTAGATTTACAATGGGAGATTTGGAAAACAGAGATATTTAAAGAAAATAATTAAGACCATCCACAGGCCTACACACACACACACACACACACACACACACACCCCATTATCAAAATAGCGCAGTCATTTTCAGTTTTTTTTCTATGCACACATAAGAAGACAAAATTTAGATACATACAGGGTTTATAGTAACAATAAAAATTTATCCATGGCATTCTCCTCAATTTCTGAGTACTTTCTCATTTTGTACATTCTTTTTTTTTTTTTTTATTTAGTACAGTACAGGGTCTATAGGGTCTCACTACACAGATCAGAGTCACAATGATTCTTTTGCTTTCAGCCTCCCAAGTGCTGGGATTACACGTCGAGGCTCAATTGCCCTCTCAGTGCTCCCCGGGCGGCAGGGCCAGCATGGCAGGCCTGGGATTGAACCTCTGGCCCCTGCATATGCCTAAGCAGGCACTTTAATCCGCTGAGCTCTCTGACCAGCCCCCATTATACATTCTTTACAGATACAATTTTAAAACCTACAATATGTTGTGTTTTGTGAATTTAAGCAAAATTATTTGATTCTTTCCATATAACTGAACCTCTACGTTGCGTCTATATTTTTTATTTTATAAACAGCACTGTGATGAACTGACTGTTATATATCTTATCTACTTTCTTGTGAAAAAGCTTCCAAGTGGATCAGTACAGCACATTGCCATGTAAATCACTCTGAGTACCAGCACCTATAAGCTTCCCATTGGAACTCTCTGGGGATAAAATTCAAATAACACATAAACAATACTATTTTCATATCGTTTGCAGTCTATATTTATCCTTCTAGAGCAGTCATCTTTCCGGCCGTACATCATTCCTCTAGGCAAATGCACTATTACTGGGTTAATCTAAATGCAATAACATGAAACTTGGCTGACCCAGATTTCTCCAATAACAGTATGCATGCAATTACAACATTCTGCAGACTGAAAAATACCCAAGGCTCTCAAAAACACATATTCTATCATCCTTTCCTTTAAAATGACACACAATGGACATCAAAAGAAGAAAAATAAAAATTACAGCCAATGGAGGTTAACAGCAACCAAATCTTTTGTAGATGCATAAGTTATGGTACGATACGAGGTTTCTTCAAATTTTAGCTGTTTTCTGTCCCTTCCACAGTTGTGAAGATCTTAAGTGCTCTCACCACATTGAAGTTATTAATTAATTTCTATTGAGTTATATCGTCCTAACCGTGCACTCTTAAATTCTCGGTAGCCTGTATTTTTGAATTATTCCCTTTTCAAGAGGTTAAAGAGGGTTCTTACAATCTCTAAACTATATGCATGTAAATTTATTTAAGTAAAGGCATGTATTTAAAATATATTTTCTACTAAGCAATGAAAAATCAAAGTAAAACAAAATAGCCACCTCTATCACTGGATATGTTGGCAATGAAATCATGCAATTTCCAAAGCCCTCCCTAAATCAGCAGAGAGATAAAAGACAATCAGAGATATCCTGTACAGTAGTGCAGACTGCACGCCACACAGCTCCATAGGGTACAGTCAGACCCTGGCCCACGTGATCAGTACTCATTGAAGGTGTGAGCTACATAATCTACATAGCTATACGTGACGACCTTGCAGTTAGCTTGAGTACTGTGGCTTGCATATTTGTTACTTACATATGCATCCTTCCATGGAGAGAGCTATGAAAAAGAAGTTTCGGGAGGAGCTGACATATAGACATCTATCTACCTACATAATTTATTTTAAATAAAGGAAAGTTTGGAAAGAAACAATGCTCTTCCTGGCTCCCTTTGTCATAATAATGAGGTTTCCTTTTTCCTTCTCCCTTTCCATCCACCCACCAGGAAGCCACAGGATACCTTGTGTGAGTAACTGTAGGTTTCTGACTTCCTCGCGCACCTTCAGCTGGAGCACCTGTTGCAAGATGTGCTGCCGGAGGTTCTCCTGGGTGATCCCCATGCGCTCCAGCTTTTTGTCCGTGAGTCTCAGCAGGGCTCGCCCTGCAGGGGTTTAAATAGGGAAGATAAAAAAGGACATGAATGATTTACTGGACAGATAGATTTCCATCTTGGTCTTGGTTCATCCTTCATATAGAAGATTTCAACCAAATAGTAAGTACCTCCTTAGAACAGAAGGGCCCCCTGGATCATTGCTGATACCATGGCTGAAGTGGCAGAATAAAATCCAGACTTTTAACAATATTAGCAGTCCACATATGACCCCCCACACAGAAGCAGATAAAATAGCAGGCTTTTGACCTGGATATTTGAGTCACAGATTGTAGGTTCCCATGGAAACCCTAGTCTTTGTTGGGGGATGGGTTCTCTGGCTAGCCACAGGAGCACCAGTCACCACATATCCAGCTGCAGAAGCAGGTGCTCTAACTGTGGTTATACAGGGACTCCAGCAACTTCAGCCCAGGATACAATCACAGTGCTGTGAAATGTGCACATAAAGCTCAGTTCTCATCTCCAGGCCTCTGCCTATACCTCTGGCACTAGGTCGGAGTTACATCTCCAGGTGCCAGGAGTTCTGCCATGTCCAAACCAACGCCATGTTGATGATCCCAGCAGGGCTGGGGTATACAAAGAGGAAGGAAATGACAGCAAACATGGAGCCTAGGGAGGTAAGGACCTGCGATGCGCACACACCTGGATCCAGCTACCCCACAGCCTTCTGCCCTTTTGCTTCCTCTGAACACTTGCATACTTCTCTTCTACCATAATTCTAGCAAGCCCCCAAGATCTCCCCCATCCTGTGCTTGCTCTCACAAAAACAAATTCCAATTGTGAGACTTTACTACAAGATAGAAAGACAACAAGAAATGGAGATACTAAATATTCCCAGCACCACATTCTATTCCTTCTTGTCATCTACAGTCATCATAACTGCAGATCTGTGATTGTTAATCAGGACACATTAATCGGATTGGATTATAAAACATCTAGCAGATTAGGAAAACACATTCTGAGAGTGTCTGGATGGGTGACACAGGACGAACTTAGACAATGTAGTTGAGGGCTCCTCCTCTCCCACACTGCTCCCCTGCTCTGCTTTCTGGCTGCCATGAACCGGGCATGATGTTTCTCTTTTGGAACTAGGGGGACCATGGTCTGTGTCTCCTTAAACTGTGAGCTACATTACAGTAGTGAGTGACAGGTATTGTGTCTTGGTGACAGGAGAGGTGACTAATACAAGATATGTATTCATTTCTATGGATTCAGAAGGGACAGTCAACTCCATGTGACTAATACTAAAGCTATGAATGCATTATCATATGTATTCTAGAAACTAAATGTTTTACCACTTTTACAAAGAAACCTGGGTTACAGCACCTTCCCCACCCAGCCCGCCGAGTAGGAATTTCTGCCGCATTCCGGGAACCCCCAGACCCAGTCCTAG